CTGGTTAAGCCCAGTGTCTAGGTCTGAAAAGCTGGAACCCAAGAATTGGGCATGGGCTGTCTAGTAGAGTAGACACCAGCCACATTTGGCCATTGAGCAGTGAAGTGTAGCTAGTTTGAACTGAGATGTGCTCTAAGTGTAAAATACATAATGGATTTTGAAGACAGTACAAAACAAAGAATGTAAAATCTTATTAATAATTTTTAATATTTATTACATGTTGAAATGATAATTTGGATATATTGGGTTAAATAAAATACATTGTTAAAATTAATTTCACCTGCTTTTTTCTTCTTTAGTGCAGCTACTAGACAGTTTAAAACTACATATTTTCATGATGCACACTTATGGCTCATGTTGTATTTCCATTGGATAGTGAGTGCTTCCCTGAATAATTCTGCATTTTCTGACTTAAGAAAGAAAAAATGAAAGCAATTGGATAGAAACAATCTTTTATTCCTAAATTTCTCTTAATTCATAAGTCAAATAATTAATCTGTCCAGTCGCAGGAGTTTCAAAAAGGGGAAATTCTCTAAAAATTACTCTGTTTCTCAGAGGCTGTCTTATTATTTAAGAGTAACTTCATAGTATAATGCTTGTCTTTTTTTCCCTTCAGCCTTTCTAGTCTGGTGGTGACTGGATGATAACTGTAATGTTGGGAATTTTGTCGAAAATTCCAGAACCATGTTAGTTCTATTGCCTTTTTTATATGTCTACTATAATCTAACACAGCTGGGAACTAATGAAAAATATTTTATATGGAGATATTATTGCAGAAATGTTTGTCATATCAAATTATGATTGTCATAATTCAAAAGTCATTAAATAAAGGGTGAGCATCTCAGCTAAGATGCTGTGATGGACCCACAAATGTATCACACATATTCTGTATCCTCAAGTAGCCTCTGCTCTAGCCAGGAGGTATACATTCAGAGTGAAATGACTCAAAAGAGCAATCCCAGGTGGGGACCATATGGCCAAATGGCTTATAAAGGACACTGATAGCAAGTTGCTATTTTAATTTCATAATTGTTCCTTGACCATTAGAACTTCTTAAGCACCAGTCCCTCCTTCCCTCCCTCCATGGATTCTTCTTGGTTTTAGTAGCACTGCGTGTAAACTCAACCTGGCCTTGAGCATGGCTCTGAAGCAGCCTAGAAAAATCAGATCTGCTTCAAGTTCTCTATTAATCTGGTTGCCTTTAGAACTTTAAGCCTAGTAAACCTGTTATATGTAAGAAAGTATTTTCTGCAACCAAATTGGATTAAAAGAGAACTGTGGATTATATGTCAGGAGATCTTCAGCGAAAAATGTTTGTGTTTAAAAAGACAAATAAATACATTTATAGAAAACTCTACCCAACAACAGCAGAATGCATATTTTTTTTAGTGTACGTGGAACATTCCGCAGATAGACGATATTCTGGGCCATAAGACAAACCTTAACAAGTTGAAAAGAACTGAAATTATACAAAGCAAGTTCTCTGACTATAATGGAAGTAAACTAGAAAACAATAACTGAAAGATGTCTGGAAAATTCACAAATATTTGGAAATTAAACACACTTCTGATTAGCCATGGGTCCAAAGATAGTCACAAGGGAAAGTAGAAAATATTTTCAATTGAATAAAATTGAAAATACAGCAAATCAAAAATTGCAGCTGATGCAGTGCCTAGAGATAAATTAATAGGAATAAATGATTATATTAGAAGAGAAGAAATGTTACCAATATCAGGACTGAAAGAGAGGACATCACTACAGACTCTACAGACATTAAAAGAATAATAGGGAAATATTACAAACAACATTATGCCCGGAAGCTGGATAACTTAGATGAAACAGACAAATTTCCTTATAAGATAAACTATCAAAGCCCACTCGAGAAGAAATAGATAACCTGAATAGTCCAATAGTAACTAAAGAAATTGAATTCATAGTTTAAAACCTTTCTACAAAGAAAACTCCGGACCCACATGGCTTCCATGGCAAATTTACCAAACCTTTAAGGAAGAAATACTGATCCTACACAAACTCCTCCAGAAAATAGAAGGAACACTTCCCAACTCATTTTATGAGGCTAGATAATAATACCAAAAGATACTGCAAAAAGACTATAGACCAACTTCCTTCATGCACTTGGACAAATGAACAAAGCACTAGCAAACCAAATTCAGCAATGTATATAAAGGATAATAATAGTGTTGTGCTGGTAAACTGGCTCTTCGGTTGGTGGGGGGGAGCCCTCTTTGTACGGATTTCCATGGTGTAAATCTCCCACCATGGCCAGTTGCAAGTTACCAACATAAGGTCACTGAATGTGGAGTTGGGAAAAGATGTGCAGAATGAGCTCTCATGAGCTGGTGTAGGTCCAGCTTCAGCGCGTCGTGACCCACGCATAATCTTCCCAAGAATGCGAACTGTTCAACATTCAAAAATCAATGAACGTAGTTCACCATAATAACAGACTAAAGAAAAAGACAAAAAACTGTGAACCAAAAATCATGCTTAGTTCTATACTTAGCAAAATAAGCCCACCCAAACTGATGCTCCGACAGTTCAGTCCACTTCAGGCCTCACTGTGCTCTGTATCGCTTGTCCCCTTTTTTGCTTCATTGCTTCGATCATTGCTGTTTCTTTACAAACACCTAGATTACACTCTCTTCCCATGGCCACTGCTTACTCATCCAACATTTTTTAATAGATGCAATGACTCATTGGGAGGAGGGTGAGATATTCCTAGCTCATGCAGAAGATCTACTGAGGTGTATAAATCCATATAATTGGCTCATAAATTTCACACACACACACACACACACACACACACACACACACACACACAATGATAAAGAAGCATGTTTGTCCATTTTTATTTCCAATGACACACTCAGGATATTCTTTGTGAGGACTTTTTTTTAATAGTTACTCTAGTGGGGTCATAGGATGGTGAAATGAAGACCAGTTCTTCTCTACTGTTTTGGGAGTACCCTTGGGTCAAGAAAGTTGTTGTTGTTGTTGCTGTTTTTAAATGTCTTTATTGGAGTATAATTGCTTTACAATGTTGTGTTAGTTTCTGCTATATAACAAAGTGTATCAGCTATATGTATACATATTCCATCCCTCTTGCGTCTCCCTCCCACCCTCCCTATCCCACCCCTCTAGGTGGTCACAAAGCACAGAGCTGATCTCCCTGTGCTATGTGGCTGCTTCCCTCTAGCTATCTGTTTTACATTTGGTAGTGTATATATGTCCATGCCACTCTCTCACTTTGCCCCAGCTTACCCTTCCCCCTCCCCATGTCCTCAGGTCCATCCTCTACGTCTGTGTCTTTATTCCTGTCCTGCCCCTAGGTTCATCAGAACCTTTTTTTTTTTTTTTTTTTTTTTTTTTTTTTAGATTCCATATATATGTGTTAGCATCCGGTATTTGTTTTTCTCTTTCTGACTTACTTCACTCTGTATGACAGACTCGAGGTCCATCCACCACACTACAAATAACTCAATTTCATTTCTTTGTGTGGTTGAGTAATATTCCATTGTATATATGTGCCACATCTTTATCCATTCATCTGTTGATGGACACTTAGGTTGCTTCCATGTCCTGGCTATTGTTAATAGTGCTGCAGTGAACGTTGTGGTACATGTCTCTTTTTGAATTATGGTTTTCTCAGGATATATGCGCAGTAGTGGGATTGCTGGGTCATATGGTAGTTCTATTTTTAGTTTTTTAAGGAACCTCCATGCTCAACATCAGTAATCATTAGAGAGAGAAACGCAAATCAAAACTACAGTGAGGTGTCACCTCACACCGGTCTGAATGGCCATCATCAAAAAAATCTACAAACAATGAATGCTGGAGAGGGTGTGGAGAAAATGCTGTTCTTTTTTAAATCTTTGTATCAACTCCTGACACACTGCTTGGCACATAGAAAGATTCACTGCATGTTTGGATGAATGGATAAATGAATAAAAGAGAATTTTGAGCATCCCTCACTTGCCGAGACTCTCAATTCAAGATTTGAGTGTGAGACTCAAATACTCACCGTGGAAATGGCTATTCCTTGAGAAGAATGACAATCCCAACTCTACTGTAGTGATCTTCAGCATTTCTCCGCTCATTTCAAAGACATAAAGTGAGGGGAGTGGGAACACAGTAATTAAAATTCCCTAGAGAACTTCTTTTGAAGAGATCTGGGCCACCCATATCATCTGAAAAAGTACCGTGGGGCTGGCAGAGTGTTAAATGATGAATACTGATTACAGCTATGAGACTAGCTTTAGCACTGTTTTGTTGTGTGTAAGGGTTTTGTGTGTTGTTCATACCTTCAACATGTTTGCTCTCTGTACTCATACGTTGATTTTTAAACATATTAATGGGTGGGGGGGAACCTGGAACACGACTTTATTCATTTAAGTTACTATATATCTTTGAATTTTGACATACCATTGATCATATCTGTGATTTATTTAATGCCTAAGTCTCGATCATCTGCTTTACTATGTGATTTCACTGAGATAGAAATGGGGAGTGGTATGGTAACATGAGTTAATATGGTCTGTGAAATTTCAAAGATTGCTTGCAGGTGGGCTGTGTCTGCTTAATTAAGAAGGCCAGACTGGGTGGGATTACTTGTCCCCAGAGGAGGTCAGGCCGAGACAACTTCTGCTATTTACATGAACTAAACTTTTGAGTTTCCTGATTTGCTTGTCAGCTTTAAAGAAAAGAAAGAAAAGAACCTTTAATTATTTAGGAAAATGGACATTGTCATTCTCCCCCTAAATCCAGGTTTTTAGTTAACAAAAACATACCAAATCACTCCTCAACACCAATTATCCTTCAAGCTCAGAGACTTGTCTCAGCAACCTCTTGTCACCAGTAAGTTAATACTTGCATCGTAGTCAAGTTTGGTTTCAGTGCCCCGAATACCAGAGTGGTCATCATTTTCATACTGAATCAGATGTCTGTTTATTCTGATTTTACTAAAGGAAGTTTTTCTCCATCAGGGATGGATGAATGAGATTTACAACTATGATCCAGAAACTTACCATGCGACTTTGACACATTCAGTCTTTGTTCGACTTGAGGGTGGGACTGTAAGGCTTTCAAAGCCCAATAAAAATATATCCAGGAGGGCAAGCTACAATGAAACAAAGCCAGAGGTGACCTACATCAGCCAGAAAATCTACGACCTGTCCGACAGCAAGGTGAGCCCAACTAATTTGGAAGCTTAGATGAATGAAAAACATTTGGAATCTTGGACGCTTTACTGTAATTTTTCCCCTTAAAAGGTTGTGTGTTTAAAGTATTAGTGTAATTTAGGGCAGTGCCTCTCAAACATTAATGTGCATATGAATCACCTGAGCATCTTTCAAAGTACAGAATCTGATTCAGCAACTATGAGTAGGGCCTGAGAGTCTGCATTTTTATGATCTCCCAGGTGATATCCATGCTGCTGGTCCACAGACCACACTCTGAGAAGCGAAGGCATCATACACTTTTCTGACTTTGAGAGTTAATTTTTTTGGTCAAACAAAAGCCACGTGTGGTGGTACTAGGCTAATAACTAATGCAAGCTCTGTAAATGTGAAAATTATGGAAAATTATGCAAAATAACCACATTTTGATAAAAGTATACTTCTGCTTTTGAGAAATGTAAATTATTTGTTATTCCAAAAAGCTGTAGGTTCTCTTTTCTTATAAATCTTGTGAGTGATCTTTGAGTTTCTCCAAAATGGCAGAATTATTTAAAATAGTTTTTTGACGAATTCATTCTTAACTTGTGGTTGATAAACTTGAGCTTCCCATCAAGATCTCATTTGATAAATTATTTTTTTTCCCCCCAGCTTAGGTTTGGCCCAGTGTCATTAAACTCAGTTGGTATCCAAACTTAGTTGATGATAATCCATTAAATAATTATTCTGCTACTGTTACCTGAAAATCGTAGATATTTGTAACTCGTGCGAAATTCTTGAATATCTACTTTCTGGAATTATTTTGAAGAATAAGTCATTTCTAAAAATTCTAGTTTCTAAAGTCACGTTATGGACAGGTGGTAATTCTTTCACGTTCATCATTTTAGTCAAAAATACTATGAAGTTTGTATCTGTGCTCTGCACAGTAGTAATGCACAACGTAGCCAATTCTTAATTTAGAGTGTAAATCCTTTCCCTTTCTCTGTAGATTTATCTTGTGCCTAAAAGTTTGGCTCGAAAGCGAATCTGGAATAAAAAGTACCCCATTTGTATCGAGCTTGGTCGACAAGATGACTTTATGTCTAAGGCCCAGACTGATAAAGAGACTTCTGAAGAAAAGCCACCAGCCGAGAGGGAGTTGGGAGGCGAGGACCCTAAGAAGCCAACCCACCCTCAGGAGGGAACACGATCTGGCCAGCGAGATCAGATACTCTATCTCTTTGGGAGAACTGGCCGAGAAAAAGAGGAGTGGTTTAGGAGATTTATTCTGGCATCTAAGCTGAAGTCAGAAACCAAGAAGCCACCTGGTGTCTCTGGAAGTAAACCAGGTAATGACATGTGTGCTAAATGCTTATGTATTTTTAAAGGGCCCGTGGGAGAATCAAGAGAGAGTCCCAGGTAGGAAGAGAGGAAGACCACCCTGAATTGATGACTGTCTGCCACCTAAGGTGTATTCATGGATTATTTGCCTTCTAGGCTGCTCACTGCAATACTTTGTACTGAATCATTTAACCAGTGATGGAACCATTTGCAGATGTATGTTTTTTTGCCTTTGCTGGTTCCTTAAGGATTATATCAATATTTATGTTTATGTACTGTGGCTCCTCTGAGAGAAGCAGCAGCAGGAGAACCCTAGTTATAATAAGAAGGCCAGTGAGAAGGCAGCTTATGCTCTCAAGCTCCTGGCCTTCAACATGGCCTCCACGCCTGAGATCACCATCGAAGCACAGAATCCTTGGCCTCCTGACTCACTGCATTTGCCATCGATTACCCCGCCCCTCTGCTCATTTCCTATCCCTCTGTCCCATGTACTTTGCTTGGAACAGCACTGAATCTCTCACCGTCCTCCAGACATACTGTGCCCTGTCATTGCTTTCTGTGTATGCTGTTCCCTCTACCTGGAATGCGCTTCCCCCACCTAGGCCGGGAAAATGCTAACTGTTTCTTCAAGGGGCAGTCCAGAGGTCACTACCTGTGAGAGTCACTGCTGGAGGAAGCGCCTCTCGGCTCTTGGGCAGTGGGACTCACCCTGTTCCTTCTGCCCTGAAAGTCCTTTAGTCATGCTTCAGTTACAGTGCTTATTACAGAAAATTGTGATTTATTTGCCTAGGTGCCTGAGTTCAGGGGAAGGGACTGTGTATGTCTTATTATTCTTTTTAATGTGGATTTGGCCCAGAGAAAGTGCTCGATGAAAAATGTGTTGAATGAATGAATGAAAGATGTTTGTCCATCCACAGCTTACGGCAATTCCAGTTAGCTTCCTGCCTGCTTTTCTGTGTGCCCCTTGGGGTGTGTCAGTCCTTCATCTGACCCCAAGAAAGCACCAGAAAAAAAGGAAAAGATACCTACCAGATATGTATCATGGCTCCCATTCCTCTGAATTGTCTTGAAGAAGAATAAAAGCTGTTCTAAAAAGTTATCTATCATTACAGTGGAAGGTGTCTTTCAGGGTGGGAAATAACCTTATAAATATGTATTTTTTACATAGTCATTTATAGCATTTTAGCTGCTTTTCAACTGTACCCAGTGGAGTTTGCTCTGTGTTCCATTTCCTTTGCCATCGTTTTCCTCATCTGTGCTAACAGCCATCACTTCTTTGCTCCAGGGGTTTTGCCCTCACACAGCAGACACAGCAGTCCCTCGGGGCACCTGACGCACAGCCGCAGCAGCAGCAAAGGCAGCGTGGAGGAGATAGTGCCCCAGCCGAAGCAGAAGGAGCTGGCGGGCAGTGTACGGCAGAAGATGCTTCTGGACTACGGTGTGTACATGGCCAGGTGTGTCCCCCAAGAAAACCGAAGCCCCCAAAGGAGCCCAGCGCAGAGTGCGGAGAGCAGCCCCACAGCTGGGAAGAAGGTAAAGCTGGCTGCCTGGGGGTAGCTTTTTTGCTCTTAGATTCGTTTCCTCATACATAAGCCCTTTGATCGCCTCTTTTGTACCAGGCCCTGTTCTAGGCATTGGGGACACAGTGCTGAACCAGACAGATGAGGGCTGTGCTCTTAGGGAGCTTGGACCCTAGTCAGGGAGACAGCAGGCAGCAAATGGCAAACATCAGGTGCCAATAAGCATTAAAATAAAGACAAATAAGGGAGGATGGAAAGTGGCCAGAACTGCTGTTTTAGATTGTGGTCGAGGACAGCCTCTTTGAAGACGTGACATTTGGGCAGAGACCCGACCAAAGTGAGAGAGTGAGCCCTGGCGATCTGTGTGAGAGGAGCATTCCAGGTGCGGGGACCAGAATGTACAAAGGCCCTGAAGCAGGCCTGTGGTTGGAGTATTCAAGGAACTGTGGTGAGGTCAGCGTAGGTGACAGTGAGCAAGGGACAGAGGGCCTCGTCAGATCGTCAGATCAATTCCTCGTCCGATCAGATCATGGGAGGCCCTGGGAGGGTTTTGAGCAGGGGCTAATGTTGATCTGACTTGAGTTTAAAAAGTCATGTGGCTCTCCATGGAGACTGGAGAAGGGGCAGTAGGAGGAAGGGGCGGTGGGAGGTGATCGTGGCAGCAGAGCATGGGGCTAGGCTGAGGTGGTCATAGCAGGTGGTGAGAAGTGGTGGCCTTGAGGATACTGTTGGAGGGGAGCTGGCTGGATTTGCAGATGAATTCCATGTGGGATGGGGAGAACCAAAGGAGTCAGAGATTACCCCTAGCTTTTGACCTGAACAACTGGGCCATCAGTAGGGAAATTCACAGAATCATTAGCAATAGAGGTCTAATTCCTTAATAACCATTGTATACTCAAATTCTCAGACTCCTCAGCTGTGTCCAGAGCTTTTGAAGGTTTACCATATGCATTATTTGCAAAATGTAACAAGCTGGACATTGACTCAAGATCATTTGTGATAAGATAACTAATATAAGCTGCCATATGTCAGACTCTGTTAGACACTGTAATAGAATTACTCTGATCCCTTGAACAGTCTTGCAAACCAGGTGGTATTCTCTCCATTTTATAGATGGAGAAACCAAACTTCACAGAAGTTAAGTAGCTTAGTGTCACAGTTGCTAAGTGATGGAGTGCACAAAACCTAATCTGAGACTCCGAGGCCCTTTGGCTGCCAGGACTGCCGTCTTGGTGGGTCATTCTCAGACTGTGCTAGACCTGAGGCCTCCAGCCGCTACGCCCCCTCAGGTTCTGAGGCACAGCCTCCCGCCCGTGGAGCACAAAGCCTGTTTCTTCCATGTTCAGTTACTAAAGTGTTTAACCTCTTATAGTGACTGTATTTCTGTTAACGGGAAGCATTTGGTACCATCCTCTTTGTGCTTTCAGGCTTTAGTCATTCTGTTGACCCTCTTCAGTGTGGAAGAGGCCCCAGAACCTTCACCCAGCCTACTTTGTCAAGGGCCAAAAAAGACCATATGCCTTTGCTGGCCTCTGACCCACCGCCTCCCCCTCTGACCTAAGTTACCAGCTAGAGTGGGAGGTAGACTTCGCTCTAAGGTAGAGCGGGGTGATAGAAAACTGCTCTGGAAATGTCCTGTTTACCACCAGTGAGTCCCACTCCCCCTAATTCCCTTTCTGCCTGGGCTGTCAGCTGTCTGCATTCTCATTAGACTCAGGAAAATCAGGAGGAGAATTGTGTGATGTAAGAAAAGGATCTAATAAATAAATGCTTGCTTTCTAAAAAAGAGTTCTGTTAATTAAAAAAACAAAAGTTTTAGAACATCGCTTCCTCAGTATGTGTTGCATGTGCCTGTTGTATCGTGTAATCACTGGGGTCTGTGGAAGCCCCAGGAGGGCCTGGGAGGTCCTGCTGGCACAGAGCCTGGCCCCTCAACCTTGCGCTGCTGTCGCTGGGGTGGGGTGGGGGTGTCTCTGGTACAAACCTTTTTTCCAGGTACTTAGCACTTAACCCCTTTAAACACCAGAACCTTCTTTTCATCTTCTAAGTTAAGTCTAATGAAAGTCTTTAAAAACCACATTGCACTTCCTGTCCCCCTTAGGCAGAGCAGGCAGGGATGATTTAATCTTTTTCCTGGTGATTTAAAGACTCAATACAACACATGGAAATTCAGGCCTGTTGTCCTGCAGGGCTACCTAGGTCAGGCCTTTCACCCCCGTCTGAACCATCCCAGACCACAGACTCTGCAACATTTTCTGTCACTTGTCAGTCGGCTGGTGTTAGTGTGTGTCCTTCTAGTTGCCTTTCCTTGAGTGCTTATCCTCATCTCCCACCCCTACCCCTAATCTAATGGTTCTAATCTGCATGGGCTAGACAACCAGAGAGCCAGAATTGTGTGAACACAGATAACTGTCTTTGAAAGAGGGGCTTTTGAAGCAAGTGCGTGAGCTTTAGCACTGGGCTCCCACGTCCACTTGGCCTGCCTGAAGCATGTGTGGGCTGCGTCCTGGCTCTCAGGAGTGGTCTGGTAGTAGAGACAGTCATGAATAAGGTATAGGTGTATGTTTTAGTTATCTGTTGCTGTGTAACAAATAGCCCCAAATGGGGTGGCTTAAAACAGTAACAGTGATTTATTTTGCTCACAGATTTGTAATTTGACTGGGCCTAGCAGTGAAACCTCCTCTCTGCTCCACGCAGTGTCAGCTGGGGAGGCTGGACGGGGGGCTGGAGGACCTGCTTCCAAGATGGCACTTGCATGGCTGGCAAGTAGTTGCTGGGTGGTGGCTGGGAGCTCAGCTAGGGCTGGGGGCTGTGGGCCTCGGTTCTTCCCCATGTGGCTTGGGCTTGCTTCAGTATGGTGACCGGGTTTCAAGCACAAGCGTCCCTAGAGAAAGAGCCAGGTGGGCTTTTTATGACCTAATCTCAGAAGTAAAGTAATGTCACTTCCTTCCTGCTCCATTAGTCAAAGTAGTCAAAAAGCCCTCCCAGCTTCAAGGAGAGGGGCATAGATTCCACCTCTGCTGAGCTGAGGGAGTAGCAAATCCTTAGAAGAGCATCTGGGATGGGAAGTATCATTGTACCATTTTTGAGAAATAAGGTCTGCTACGGTATTTATTCCTATGCTCTTTTTATTGCTTTTCATGCTTTCCTTTTCAGTGGAGATAGTTCTTTACTAGTTTTATTTCTCTTTAATTCTGTGATTCGAGCAAATGAGGACCTTCCCCCACCCCCTCTTTAATTTTCTTTTCTTTTCTGTGCCTGTGAAGCATTAACATGGTTCCAAAGACCCAAACTGTACAAAGACATATTCAGAAAAGTGCCGTCTCCCCCGCCCTTTTCCTTCTATTCATCCGTGCCATCCCCCCACCCCCACCCCAGTAGTGAACGGGTCTCATTAGTCTCTGGCTCATCCTCTCTGGGTTCATTTCCCCTCCTGTCTTACTCAAAGGGTGGCACGCCATGGATACTCTTTTGCATGCTTTTTTCACTTACCAGTACATTCTGGAAATCACCCCACATCGGTTCTTAGATATCTCCCCTTCCTCTTGTTTTTCAGCAACTGCAAAGACTGACTCCATTGTGTGAATGTTCCATAGTATATTCATTCTCTTATATGGGCGTATGGGTGGTTTGTAATATTTTGCAATTACAAACAGTGCTGCAATGAACAACCTTGTATATGTGTATTTTTGTGTTGTTGGGGGTATATCTTCAAGGTGATATCTTACGAGAATGTCAGAATGTAAACTCACTTGTAGTTTTGTTAGATATTGCCAAATGCCTCTCCTTAAGGGTGGCATCAGTGTTCATTCCCACTGGTAATAAGAATGCCTGTTTCCCCACAATTTTGCCAAATGTGAACCTTTTGGACGTGGTCATTAGTGCTCATCCTTCCTGCCAAAGACGGCCGGGTTATTTCTTTGGGTTCATATTGCCTCTGCTGTCATGAGTCCAAGAGGAACTGAAAGGGCTCAGAGACACAAAGGAACCTTTGACACCTCTTCAAGTTACCCTGTCACTTCATCAGTGTCGGCACCACCCAGACGCTTACCCAGGGTAGCATGCCCCCTCCTCTTCTATACAAGGAGCTTGGGACACAGCACCAGCCTTTGCCCCAGCCTGCTGCTGCTTCTTACAGGCCACGTTCAAAGCATCTCTCACCCTGAGGGCTCCAGGTCTAACAGCACCTTCCACACACTCAGCCTCCTTTCTCACACATGGCCCAGTGCTAAACTGGGTCAGGAGGTGAGTAGGGCCACTGGTGCTCAGGAGCCAAACCAATGTTAAAAACAGCCAGTGATAATTAGTAAATGCAGACTAGATTTGTATTAAACAATGCTAGAACACTTTTGGTAGTTACTCTTACCCATAATAATTAAAAACAAGTTCGGGGGATTCTGAAATCACTTTGGAGCTCAAAATTTGAATTATGAAATACTGCTATTTTGGAGGAAGGGCCTGGTTCTCCAGATGTTTAGTGATTAGTGATCGGTCGCTGAGCCCTGACTTGCCCTTGTGACTCCACTTTATCTCACAAACACAGACTGTACCAGCCTCTGAAGTCTCCAAACCCCTTTGATCTTGGCGCCATTTTCTCTCTTCTCAGGCAGCTTAACCTCTAGAATAGTGAGACCATGAGGCTGGCTGAGGAGACCCAGAGCTTGATCATCTTGTTGAGGTAGTCTGCTTGGTTTGAGGAGAAGGTATAAACAGCAATTAAGAAAATGAGGAAACTCTTTAAAGAAATGTCTAAAGGTGGGACAGTATTACCCCTAGTGTTGGTACCTCAGGAAGGGAGACCCCACGGGCAGCCTGTGGATTTCCTCAAAGGTGTGAGGCCACGGAGGCTTTATGCCCTGAAGCAGCCTGCCTGGGAGGGAGGACCATTGGTGAGGCAGTGCTCTGCTTGCTCACCAAGTGTGAGGCTCTGGTGTTCAGATCACATCAGGCACTGCCACGCTCCTTTCCAATGCAAGGTTTTCAGAAATACTTGAAGGTCCTGTAGGCTGTGCCGCAGGTTTGGAGAGTCCTGTCTCCATTATTGCTAGTTCTCCTAATTATCTTGTTCCCTACAAACTGGATCATAAGATACTACATCCTGTTTGGTGTTATCAGGAGATAAGAACTCTACAAAGCAAATAGGAATCAAACAGAAACCAGGAAATCTTAATTGGCAGAATGGTTTCCCAAGGCTTCCCCTTTCCAAGCTCAGAGTCAGCTTTTTAAACATTTAAAAGTAGAATTGCAAAGTGTTGATCATACAATAAGTAAAAAATATAAAGCCATATATTCAATTTAAAAATAAATTTTAGGAAGGATACAGACAAGAGTGCCAAGACAATTCAGTGGGGGCAAGAATAGTCTTTTCAACAAATAGTGCTGGAGCAACTGGACATCCACATGCAAGAGAATGAGGTCAGACCCCTCCCTCACACCGTATACAAAAATTAACTCAAAATGGACCATGGACCTTAAGGCAAGAGCTAAAACTGTGAAACTCTTCAGATAAAATATAGGAGTAAATCTCTGTGAATTGGGGCTAGGTGTAAAGACTTCTAAGATAAGATACCAAAAGTACATGCAACCAAAGAAAAAATAGGTAAATTGGACTTCATCAAAATTACAAACTTTTGTGTGCAAACAGTACTATCAAGAACGTGAAAAGACAGCCCACAGAGTTTGCAAATCATATGTCTAAGGGTTTTGTACCCAGAATATATAAAGGACTCCTGTAATTCAATAATAAAAGATAAATAACGCAATTAAGAAATGGGCAAAGGATCTGGATAGATATTTCTGCAAAGAAGATATACAACTGGCCAGTAAGTGTATGAAAAGATATTCAGTCATTAGCCATCAGGGAAATGCAAATCAAAACCATAATGCAACGCTACGTCCAAACCACTAGGGTGGCTAGAATAAAAAAGACAGATAATAACAATGATTCACGAGGATGTGGAGAAACCGGAACCCTTGTACAGTGGGAATGTAAAATGACGCAGCTGCTGTGGAAAGCAGTTGGTGGTTCCTCAGAATGTTAAACATAGAGGTCTATGATCCAGCAGTTCCACTCCTATGTGTATATCCAAGAGAAATGAACGAAAATCTAGGTCCACACAAAAACTTGTACACAACTGTTCATAGCAGTGTTATTCACAATAGCAAGAAGTGGAAAACAACTCAAATATCCCTCAGTTGAAGAATGGACGAAGTGTGGTATATACACATAATAGAATATTATTCCATAATAAAAAGGAATGATGTACTGATACATGCTACAGCATGGACGACTTTGAAAACATTATGCTTTGTGCAAGAAGTCAGCCACAAAGGAACACATATTGTGTGATTCCATTTATATGAAATGTCCAGAATAGGCAGATTCACTGCGACAGATATGTGGTTAGTTGCCTTGGGCTGGTGGGGATGGACCTGGGAGGAATGGGGAGTGACCACTAGTGGATACAGGGTTTCTTTGGGGGTGATGAAGATATTCTAAAATTGATTGTGGTGATGCCCTCACACTCTGAATATACCAATACCACTGATGATGCTTTTTAAATGGGTGAATTGTATGGTATGTGAATTATATCTCAATAAATCTGTTTTTTAAAAAGGATACAAAACCATGTTAGTTATGCTTATTTTTTAAAGTTATGTATTCTTAAACAACACCAAATATATATATATATATATATATACACACACACACACACATTGAAAACAGACTGAAAGGAAATATAGTTAAAATGTTTTAAATAAGTATATCTGGATAATGGGATTATGGGTGTTTTCTCTAGTAAATATGCTTGTTTTTGTAATCGGGTAAACAGCTAACGGGGAGGGTCTTCCGCTGTGCCTTCTCCTGGGCCAGGCAGCCCTTTGTGAAGCCCTCATGACATCAGATGGTGTGCGACCAGACCTTAGCAGCCAAGCCACCAAGCTGTCTTTGCCCCTAAAAAGCTGGCCTGGCTATTTGTAATAGGAAAAGTTACACCACAAAAAGTAAATCTGTACTATTTTCTTTTCACAGGTTGGTTTTTAATAAAATATCTCCCAAGAGCTACTCAGACAGTTACAATAGTCTTGCTTTAGCTTCGGGCCATTGAACTCTCTGAACTTTATTTTGGAAGCCATTTTTAGAAACGTACCCTTTCTAAATGTACATCTTTAGTTGAAATGGTAAAGTGAATCTGCTTCTCACATTCCTTCCTGCAGCCAAACAGCAGCATTAGGAAATGGGTGCACATTTATTGTTTATGGTCTTAAATTTGTATGACTTCCATTGGAAGTGAGTTCTTCCTAGCAGCCTGTTGAATCCAGATTTTGTTCATAAAGCTGCTTTGATGCATTGTCAGTGTTCTGCTGCTCATGGATTTTTCTTTGTTCCCAATGAGTCTGTGGAGAGAAGCCTGCCTTAGAAAAAGGAACAGTTGAAAAGAAAAAACAACCTCCTTGTCAGTTATTTCAGAAATTTGTTTCCACATCATATGCCTTTGGCTTGGACAAAAGTTGTGAAATAGCCTTTGTTTCATGCTATTTTGTGTTGTTAAACCTGTTTCCTGTGAATAACTAGCATTGTAAGGAAAGGTTAGTAAAGAGTCAACTCTCCCACATGAGAAGGGAAAAATTAACCTCTTCTCTTGTGCAGCCTACAAATCTGAGTGAGACGTGCACTGCCCTGCGTGGGCAGCCTCTTGGCACTGCCCGGATCCCTGGGGGAGGAGGGTATTGTCCCTGGGTGAGTGTTTACTCAGAAGTCTGCATAGATAATCTGATGTGACTCAAAGACCGTAACCTCAGAAAAGCTAGACCAGATCCCCTTGGGGTGGGGTGCAGATGTTCAGGCAGAGAGAAAAGCGATTCTAAAAACCACGTACAGCTTGAGGCATGACTAAGTGCTCGCTGGGCACAGGCTTCCACTCGACCATCCAGAACCTGGTGGTAGAGATGCCTCGGTTAATATCAGAAGCCTTTACAGTACCAGAAGAGCACAGAGAGGGGACCCTACAGCCATTCACACAAGGCAGCTAGAGCCATGTCTTCTGAAATACAGTGACCAACGTGTATTATTTTTTAAACCAGAGTTTAACTTTTTTTTTTTTTAATGAGACTCGCCGACATTTATAAGGGAGAACTTTGAAAATACCCCAATTTGAAGGACTCCTAGAACATAGGATATCCCTGCTTATATGCAGTAACATTAGACTGAGAAATGCAGGTGAACCCCCAGGCCCCCAAAGCGAGAGACGGCACAAGCCCTGATGAGAGGGGAGGACAGGTGGGTGCTGGGCAGCCCTCCAGGCCCTGCACAAGCTCAGTGACCAGTTCAACTGGGTCAGACCCTAAGGACTCCAGGCTTCAGAAAAATCACACATAGGTCCCTGCCATAGACCTTTAGGACACTCACAGGTCATCAGATCTCTAAGTGTCAAATCCACAAGCACCAGGCCACCCGTGTACTCTGCCCCCGGCTTAGGACACAGCTGTGCGGGGGCGTGGTCACGGCTGCGCAGGACAGACATCACCGGTGTGAGCCCACGCGTGGAGCACAGAGACGTGAGGCGTCTGGTGTAGGTGATGGCTGCAGGCAGCCGTGAGGGCAGGGCAGGTGCATTTGTACAAACCGTGGAGGGAAGAGAAAGGGTGAGCAATCCACAGATTCCTGCATTTCTAGTTCTTGCAGTCTTTGCTTTCCAAGGCGAATTGTTTCTATAAGGCTATCACCTAATTAGAGACCTCGGCACAAGGACGTGTCTGTCACGCCCGGGACCGGTCACGCCCCCTTCCTCCCACCGGACACAGCAAGTGGGAGACTGGGAGGAGGCTGTGAGTCAGGCTGTGCTGATGAATCAGGGGCCTCGGGCAGGGTGCTGAACAGTTCCGAGTCTGTTTGCTCCTGCCTAAAATAGAAGTAAAAGTTCTGTCTTTCCGGGGTATTGTGAGATGTAAGTGAGGGAACCTGAGAAGGAATCTTATCATAGGGCCTGGCGTGGGGTCAGTGGACCCACCAAGCATGGCCTGCACTACCACACCGTCCGTGGGTGTCACGGCCGCTTCTCCCTCCTGCTTCACCCCAACCCTGGCCCTCTCCAGGCAAGAATCCATGGTCTAATTCTTAGCCTTGGAAACTGGAGGCTAACAGGGTTCGCTCTTTTCCCACCTTGCACATTGGCCACAACAGATGTTTCAGGTGGATTGTATCAAGTGGAGCTGAAGCCCAGGGTGTTTCACGGGACTGAGATGGGTGAGAACAGCTGTAGGAGTTTCACAGAATTCCTCTCTCTAATCCAGGGCTGTGGGTCTCAACCTCACCTGTTCATTACATCAGTGAGAGAGTTTCTAAAAATCCTCATACCCACTTAAATCAGTATCGCTGGATACAAGACCCAGACACCAGTATTTCTAAGCACTCTCTGCCCCTCGCCCAGGAGAATCATGGCCTCCCAAGAGTCAGGCTGAATGTGAGAGTCCTGGGCATTGAGAAACTCTGGGCTGCCTGGTGAGACCAGCTCGACGGTTACATGTCCTGGGAGCCTTAGCTGGAAGAAAGAGAGGCAGACGTTTGATCAGATGTGTCATTGACTTGGAATGTTGGTACCAAGCTAATTTGCGGGGAGGGGAGGGGTAGGGTTATACGGCTGAGCTAATTGTATGAAATATTAGCTGGTTCACAAGAAGACTGGTAGAAGAAGAAAATAGACAAAGAGGAGTTTTTATCTGTGATGGTGGCTTTTGTTTCTCCTTTTCTATTCACTGATACAACGTAGGACTTGTAATTTATAGGGAAGAAATACGACTCACGTGGCCGGTCCCCCTTCTCTAGAGTGAGGGACCTTCAGTGACTTTATAAAAATAAGCCCCTGGCTTGCTCTCCAGTTGCTTTCTAGTTAATTCTGGTCCTTTTTCTTTTACCAGTTGCCAGAGGCTCCACCCTCTGAGGAGGAAGAACAGGAAGCCTGGGTGAATGCCTTGCTTGGAAGAATGTTTTGGGACTTCTTAGGCGAGAAGTATTGGTCTGATCTGGTGTCTAAGAAAATCCAAATGAAACTCAGCAAAATAAAGGTATTGTTTTCCACCCAAGAGGCTTCCGATTCATCACGTCTTAATTTCTAGAAGTTTTGTACATTATATCCTAAGTGAAAAATCATCCGGTTTAAAACGTATAACAAATGCGAGTAGTAAGTTCTTATCAAATAACACATCTGGGCTGTGACCTTGACCATACGACTAACTGCCTCTGGGGATGTAGTGAATGTTCCTGTTTATTTTTTCCCCTTCTGTTGCCCTCATTGCTATTCACTCTGGGTGAGAATCCAGAATTTGGTTTGGGAAAACGGGAGCTGTTACAGCTGGTTGGTTATATAGAATTGTGTTATCCTTAAGTTAGTAATGAACTTACATTGCGTGGCCGACAGCCCACCGAGCCTCACAATCTTGGCCACACAGCATGTGCTCTGAGGAAAATGCCAGACTACTTAAGACCTCTTTCCCAGCTCCCTCTCAAAGCTGGGAAAGCTACCATCGCACTCTAAATGTGTCTGCATTTGACCTTTACTTCTGGCCAGATGGTATTTTATTTTGGGCTCTCTCTTTGCTGAAGAAACAGTCCCGGTGCTGATGTAGGCCCACTTGGAAGTGAGTTTAAACTTGCGTAAGTATTCTTCACAATTGCCACTAAGTGACTCATTTAGTACCACCTTTGCCAGCTAAGAGACCTTATTTAGGTTACTTAGAAGTAAGTTTTTGATCCATTGAAGACCCAACCAAGGAAGAGTCACTTTGGTCCCCAGATCTTCACGGAGAGCTTACACAGTCAGCAGCTTAAGTCAGTGTGGATCTTTTGGGTCATAGATACCTTTGAGAAGCAGAAACATATGGACCCTTTCCCTAGAAGAATGCCCTGTGACACAAAATTTTGCCCATGATTTCAGAGAGTTCAAGGACTCCAGGTTAGGAGCCGGTGAGTCACGATAAAATTATGTTGGAAGAAAATGTGGGCATGGAGGAGCTTCGAGTTGATTCCTGTCGTGCCTTTGGGTCATGAACAGAGCCTTTCCTGGCACAGTCAGGCTCTCTGCCACTCCGGCCGCTGTCACCCCTTCCCCAGGCCCTGATGAAGAGGAGGGGCCTCCTCAGCTGGAGGGGCAGGTGTTGGGAGGGCTCTGTTGGCAAGGGTCAGCGTGATTGTGTTCTTCAGGCGAGTGCAGGTCGAGCGCTCTGCAGCGGGAGCAGGAAGCAGTGTTTGGAGAGGAGAGGCCAGCAGCCACCCTGGAGCTCGCTCAACCTCCTCCTCTTTTCGGGAAATGATGGAGGGCTTGAGCCCTCGGGTTGAGGCGCACGGGCGGGGCTGGTGCTGCGCTTTTCCCAGAGACTGTCATGGGTGCTTCCCTGAGCAGGAGGGCTCTGGGTCCTGGCGACAAAACAGGGCGTCGGAGGGCTTCTCTCTGGTGCTGGGAGTCCTCGGGGCCAAGCTCCACCCCGGATTGAGAACCGTGGGCTCCCTCAACCCAGAGGAGGTTGACAGAGGTCTTTCCTTTTCACCTTCTCCCTGCCCTGACCCTGTGGGCTTCTGCAGGGTACAGAGGTAAACTCTCGCCTGTGTTTTGAGGTCAGAAGTGCTAGGGGGTTAGGGTGGGAAAAGTGGTCCCCATCCAGCAGCGCCAGCAGTTCAGAGACGGGGGCTGTACTCCCCCCACTGGCAGCCTCAGCGCCTCCCACCCTCCACCCCGACCTGAGCTGCTGTCCCGGGAGGTGCCCTGAAGACCAGAGGAGACCCTGGTGATGGAATAAACGGGAGGGCAGTGGGAGATTGCCCCCATTCTGAACCTGCCATCACCCCTGCCAAGAGAACACGTACTATCACCAAATATCCAGGTATCCCTGGGAAGGGCTGTTCCTTAAATATAGTAGTGAGTCGTTGGTTAATGGCCAGTCAAGAACCAGAATGGCTGGAGGAGCCTGAGCTGCCCCCTGTGACAAAGATCCCCCCTGTCTCCTGGTTTCCTTGAGGGCCTGACATATGGAGGGCGCTTTGCTGGCTGCAGTGATTGTCACCCTCACCCGTGATAAATAACTCACATTGTGGAAGAGCAGCCCCATGTGTGTATCTGGTGCCCGGTGATGGGTTTAAAATAAGCTGAGTTTCTGCCTCCACAGCAAGTACACCCTGGGCCTTGGCCGGCTGCTCCGGCACCACCTTGGAGCCCTCAGTAGTTATGGCCTCTGTGCCCATGTCAGCAAATGCTGCTCTTATTGCAACGGCTTCTAACTCAACCCCCACCAACCTGGAGAATGCCCAGGCCCCAGCTGAGTTTACCCCGGAGGGTAAAGAACACACAGTGGGTTCCCGTCTCACCGTGGTGCCCTTAGGGTGGGAAGAAGAGAGTCTCTGGTTGAAAAGAGCAGGTGGGGGAGTGACCTTTCCTTGCCTCCCCACCACCCGACAGGGCAGGAAGGAAGCAGCTCTAGGGCCTGGTCCTGAGTTTTGACTCACATCAGAAATCTGAGCAAGGAGGGAGTGAGGGGGTTGGTCAGAAATGTTGCGGAATCTTGGAGTTGGGTGCTCAGGTGAACAAGTAGGAAACGCCCTGCTGACCTCCCCTCCCCATCCTGCTTCCTGGTGATTAGTGCCCATCCCACCCCTGCCAAGTGTTTCTCATCCCCGCTTCCTTCAGTTCCCTCCTCCATCTCAGGCCCTGCCTCAGGCCCTGCCTCTGCCCTCTGGGTGTGGGGGGACTCCAGGGAGCAGGATGGGGTGGGGAGGGAGGCTGGACAGGGCGCCGGGAGGGGCCCCATGTTCTCTGCGTGCACTTCCCTGGCTCAGTGTCCACTCCTGTTCCCATAGAAACCTGGCGTGCCTCAGAAGCACTGGGCATTAGGGATGACAACAATAGACAAAAAGGACGGGGGCAAGGGTGCAAGATATTGGCTACATTTTTGGCCAAGTATCATTCTGTAGGCTGATTGGGAGGCCAGCCACCACATAACATTAATGCTTTGGAAAAAGGTTTTCCAAATAAAGCAACCACCAATTCAAAAGGTACATTTGAATACTGTCTCTAGTCACATTTTGTCCATCTCAGACATCATATCCTCTTTAAATTAACACCTCCATTCCCCACAGAAAATCAGAGGTGAAATTCCCTGACTGGTGAATCCTAAAAGTGTCGTAAGTTTCTCCACAGAGAGACAGCTGAAGAGGTCCAGCCAAAATAGGCACTAAATTCATGTCTGGCTAGATGCTTCTCATTTTATGGGAAATGTTCAGCATATGTTCAATTTTTTTTAACTCTTATATTCTAAATTTTACAAAATTATTCTAATGTTCAACTGGAGCAGTCCTTATGAGAATAAGAAAATTCTGGGGGAAAAGAAAAGAGAGGGACTTGCCAGATTTAAAAATGTATTTTAAAGCTACAGTAACAAAACCACTTTGATACCAGTAGGAAACAGTGCTCAGTACAGACTCCAGTGCAATGGGAATCCCATAATGAAAGGTGGCTTTGCAGTAGGGAA